GAAACGCTCCTAATGCTAGCAGAAATACACCTAAGAAGAATGTTCCTCTAGCCTGCTTTCAATGTCTCTCATATTTGCACATTCTTCAAAGTGAAACGGATCTGATATGACGCTAAATGTTTATCACTCAAGAGCCGCAATAGCTGCCATTCAACATCGACACAATCCTTTGAGTGGTTCTCAGATTAAAAATATGCAAGAGTAAGGGCTCGGTTTGCTACTTCTCTATCGAGAATTACACGACTTGCCCTCTCAAATTTGGCTTTAAGCTATCTATACCTCCTAATTCAAACGCCTTCAAGGTCTGCCTTGCTTTTTGCGCCACTGGTTTTCATCAATTAAAGATTTCCACCTGGAGTGACATTCCTTTATAGCCCAAGCATCACGTTCTCCTCCTTTCTTCAAATTACACTATGATGCCAGTCCCTTATACATCGAATATCATAACATGTAAATTCGTGCTGCTCAACTCCTCCAAATAGCAAGTATTCTGTGAAAGAAAGCGATGCGAATTAAGGGATGGGTTAAGATGACATTAGTTCCGCCAGTGATTTGCCTTCCACTGTGACATTAGTTGTGCACACACGAGATTACACTGCAGTTCATTTATTTAACTACCAACAAGCATTGAGCTAGTTGCAATGGTCACAACATGAAGTAGAATGAGGCTGCCTTGATACCATCGGGAAGGCTGAATACATGCAGTAAGTTTAGCCTGATTTTGGGACATTATCAGGCATTAACGACAAATGACAGATGAGATGGTTTTGAAGTGTCGGTGATGAAATATTGGTGTAGCACTGAATAACTTACTGGTATAACTTAAAAAGTGGAGAAAGGAAGTTTATTTAAGCAGGCAAGCAACCCAACACCTAACCTAACATGTTGGTGTAGTTTTACTTTCACGTTCATAGCTAATTGTGACCCTATCAAAAGTCAGACACCTACTGCTTACACTGCACGTACAAAGGCGCCTATTGGCAACTTAAGCGGAATAAAGTGTGTATGCGAGTGAACCTTAACCCTTGTTTTAGCTGCACATCCTTCTTTACAAATTACCACTAAAGCAGTGGCAGCATTTTACTACTCATCCCATTTTGGAATAAATACTCCCATATTTGGCTTCAAATTGGCAGATTTACTGCCAGACATGACTTCACTAACACATAAGTCATCTTTCAGAGTCTACTGGGCTTACGAGATTTTTAGTGTTACGTTCATGCATGTCCTCAGGCAAAGCCAAGTCGACCCCGTTAGTCTGCCAAAGGACCAATGAGTGGTGATGTTATTTGGCTTTCCAAAGAGCCTGATATGCGAATGGAGTTCGTGAACCGTGAAGGCTTGGTAAATTAAAAGCCAATTTAATTAATACAGTTCCTGAAAATTATTCGCAAACATTGAGTAGGTAGCATATTTACCCAAAATATCGGTGGTTAGCTCCTTTTTTTCATCTCGCGAATACTTAACATTGTCTTCATCTCCAGTGCGCAAGGGTAGAACCCATCATTACTTATATTGTGTGCTTGTATTTCTAAGACCTCTTTGACATGGCTTGCGACAGCATGGGTAACCAATTAGGCACGTCTGCTTTCGTTAAATAATTACATTTGTGTTAAATTCTTTCGTTTTATTCCCTTGTCTATCCTTTCTTTGATTGTAAATCAGTAGGGCTTTAGTTGAGGATGGTGGATATGTGACATTGATTCTCCCCTCACTAAATAACACGTGCAAGTTTTAGGTAGTCGCTCTAAGTTTTCCTAGGCTTCATTATTTGCAGCACGCGCATGCTGTTGACATTATAATGCATTCGGTTTATGCAATTACCAGGAAGGCAAACCCAACTTGTCTATTTTAACATACCCAATGTTGATTTATTTCAACGTAATTATGAAGCCTAATAATTTGAATTTCAGTAT